ATATATATATATATATATATATCGTATTTCAACGCGTTGGAGTGGGTTACCAGCATCACCCGCTGAACAGATATATTTGGCTTTCAAGCACATATAAGTAGACACCGGAGCGCGCTAGAGATCTGGAGCGTAGAGTAGTTAGTTTCCCTTTCGGCCTGCGTGCCATGATTATGTATTGACATTGCTTTGAGGTTATTTAGTTAGTTTAGCATGTGCATCTGAGTTCTCCAGCTCAGATGTGGCATAGCACCCCGCACTCTTCTGTTTGATTTTGGGATTTAATGAGAATTCACCTTTAATATATAAGTTTTAAAAGTTTTGAAATTTCGGGGTGTTACAGTTGGTATCAGAGCCTAAGTTTGACCCTAGGATTAGACTCTTAAGACCAGATTCTAGGACATTAGGCTTAAACTCTAGGAGTTCAGGAACATAGGATTTAGGAATCATAAGACGCGCTTCAAAGAACTCTCCTTCGCTTATCAGATCAAGGTAAGGGTACAACACTCTAACTCAACATTACTATAAACATTGGCTCTATAGATCAGCATCATGGCACCAAATAGAAGACAATCAAGGACTCCGGAACCCACCACACACGACCCCATGGCTCAGACCCTACAGCAACTGACCCAAGTCGCCCAAGCACTGAGCGACGTAGCTCTCCGCAACAACCGACCACCACCACCTCCACCAAACACAAACTCAGAAGTCACCCGAGAAGTTTCAAATCATCGACCACCCACTTTCTCAGGAGAAGAAGATCCTGCCATCCTTGAGGAATGGATTCGGACCTTCGACAAGATTCTGGGGTTAGTAGAATGCCCAGAAGAACGTCGTGTAGAGGTAGCCTCATTCGACTTCGGGCACGAGGCAGACCTTTGATGGATCCACGAGGGACCCACTTACAGCCAGGAACCAGGGTTCAACTGGGAAAACCTGAAAACACGACTGCGAGAACGCTTCTACCCAGCACACGTAAGAGCATCCAAGCACGAAGAGTTCCTCCACCTGAAACAAGGAACGACTACCGTCATGGAATACCATAAACGATTCCTCGAACTGGCACGCTTCGCGCCAGAACTAGTCCCCAGGGAGGCAACCAGAATAGAAAGGTTTGTATCAGGCCTCAACTTCGAAGCCCGAAAGGCACTAGTAGTAAGCGGACCCCGGACCCTCAACGAGGCTTACTCCAGTGCCGCCAATCTCTATCGGATCCAACTACTACAACGTGGGGTTCAGGAACAGATTCGAAAAGGGAACACAGGAAGTGGAGCACCACCTATGAAAAGAACGAGAAACGACGCTAACACGAGGCCAAACTTTCTAGCTGGCCAGAGGCCACCCCTAGGAAACAACGAAGCTAATACAGGGAGCGTCCCTTGCCCAAAATGCAACAAAAGCCATAGAGGCAAGGAATGCATGGGAAACCCCTGGCGATGCTTTAACTGCGGAGGAGAGGGACACAAGTCCTTCCAGTGCACTCGACCCTCGAACTCACGCCCTACATTCATGGGCCAACGCGGAGGCACAAACAACCAGGGAAATTACAGTGCCCCCGGAAAGGTGTTCGTCATGAGCCGCACACAAGCTGAACTCGAGGATGAGGGCAACCTCGACGAAGGAAACATGGTTCCAGGAGACGAAGACCCCGCAAGCCCACCATAAGAAAACCAAGAAGATGAATTTTGTCTGGGAATATGGGATGACCGGCGAATCCCTTGTAACCACCCTCGTACTAGAATTACTTGTTTAGATTAGCTACTTCGGAAATATTATAAATAAAGAAGCAAAATCAAAATAATTTAGCATAAAAAGGGGCTAGAATACCCCGAAAACCCGCATCAACAACAAGAAGGACCAACCAAATCCTCTACCACTAGAAGACAAAAGAAGGAAAAAAGCCAAGAAGTACACAACAAAGGAGACTAATGTTACCAATAGGAATTGGACCTCTCATTTACATGACCAAAGCCTTAACCACTAGACTATGAGTGTTTCTTGAAACCTTAAGGGAACACTCCCTTCTTAAACCCCACCAAATCTCTAAAACCCACAAAAAAAACCCCAAATCAAGAACCCTTCTTCCTCCTCCAAGAACACACATTTTCTCCCTCTCTCTTTCTTCACCTCCCACAAACCGCCGACGCCACCCTCACCTCCGCAACCTGCCGCCGCGCCACCAACGACCGCCCAAAACACTCTCCGCTCCGCGCCCCGTCGACCGGACCGCCACCACGATCGGCCGACGCCGCCGCCATCACAACCCCGGAGATCGCCCGTCGCTCGCCTACTGCCACGCGACGCCCGCTGCTCGCCCGGCCAACACCCACTGCCAACGTAAACTCCTGCTCCGTCTAGGCCAACGCCCCCGTCATCAGCTCCGAGTCACGACCGAAAACAGACCGCGCCGCCGGAAACCCCGCCGGAAATTCCACCGGAGTCTCGCCGGAAAGAAGCATCACCGAAGAACACCACTTGGTGAAGTCTTGCAAAGCCGAAGAAGCCCGTTGGTACACGAACCCTGGATTGGAACGACGCCGATTACACGGTAATCGGAGGTAAAGCCCTCGAACTCGACCAATTCTCTCCAGAGTTGGTCGATATGCTTAAATTTCAAGGACTCTTGGATACGTATCTCACCATCAAAGGGGATACGTACCCCGAACTAGTGAAGGAGTTCTGTCACCATTTAGTGACCGTCAAACGGGGTGATAAAGTGGAGGTCACCACTAAAGTCCGGGGAAAGGAGATAGTACTCTCCGAAGGCCGCTTGGCTAAACTCCTAAAACTGACCACCACGGGTGTGTCGGATTACGACCGGAAGGGATGGATCGGTACCCAAGGCACGGGGTATATGGATTACCTCGGGTACCTACTAGGAAAGGAAGAAGGCTTCACCTCGGCCACCCGACCAAACAGAAAATGGCTAACTGCTGAACAAAAGATACTAATCATGATTGTGACTGATAGCTTGTTGCACACAAACAACAAAAGCAAGGATGTGGGAAGTTTGGAGTGCACTTTTGCCTACTTCCTAAAGCACAAGATCAAGTTCAACCTACAGGCCCTTATGTTGAAACACATGGAGTTTTGCAAGACTAGCAACCGGCTTAGTCTACCTTACGGGATGATCCTAAGTTGGATCATGGAGAAAAAGGGAGTGGACCTGAGCCACACAGAAATCAAACCCGTAAGCGGCATGGTTTTCAATGCCTAGAACCTCCGCCGCAATGACATCTACTACACTGAAGGGGGACAATACATCACCCTCGAGGAGATTTGCCTTAAACCCGAAGAGGAACGAAGGGAATTGGTTGATCAACTGGATATCTCCAACAAAAAGTTTAAACGGGCAATGCAAGAATGTGGGGGACTGGAGGGAAATGAGGAACACGAGGAGGATAGCGAGCCTAACCCACTGGCACCCGCACAAGCAAGGGGAAACCCAAGGATCCAAAATGAAGAATCCACCAACGAGCGCATCCTCGCACAGCTCACCCGGCAGAACCAAATGATGGACGAGGGGTTCTCGTCCCTAATCCACGCAACACGCGCTTTGGATCAGAGGGTGGTAGCAATCGAGACCATACTGGGCACCCGCGGGGTATCCAGCTCAGGAGCAGGAAACCAAGGTAGACCCGAACTTTCCAATCACCACTTCACCAGAAGTCCAAACTACCCCAGCAAAGACAACGCATGGGGCCACATTTCCTAATCAGGAGGCCAAAATACGTGACGTCTAGGGGTGAAAGAATGGATCCACGCATCGGCTTCGGGGACGAAGCCTCTTGTAAGGGGGGGGGGGGGGGGAGTGTAACACCCCGTGTTACGACCCCTAAACCAAATTAATTAATTAATTACTCAGCCTAAAAAAGGAACTAAAATCCATTAATTAGCTAAAAGGGGGTCCACCATAGTCCATGGGCCCTTATCCCTAAAGCAATCCCTTAGTCCTATAGGAAATAGAATTAGCAAATCCATACCACTTAGACCCTAATCGGGACTCTTAGATATATAAATAGGGACATAGGAGGCACCTAGAACTCACAACACAATAACTTCCACCACACAAGAATTCCCAAGAATTCCCGTAGGAGAAATCAAGAAAGAAGAAATCTTAAAGAAAGACCCTTCATAGCCAAGGAAATTAATTAAGGCTAAGAGGTAACCCATGTCTCAACAAAACCTATTTTCCTTGCTATAATATCCTTCTTTGGCTCCCTCTATATGCTTGTGTCTTGATGAATTCCTTTATGATAATCGTGATATAATCTTATTTGATTGATGTGATGATTTTATGTGTGATCTTGATGATCTTGATATTAAAAAGAGGTTCTTGATATTTATGTGATGATTCTTGATAAATCTTGATGTTTCTTGATGTTAGAGATAAAATATGATCTTGATAATTTGGATGGGAACTAGAGCCCTAGGTTGGATTGGGAATTTGTACTGTGATGTTCTTGATTTATATTTGGGTGGTAATTCGCATGTTCGGGTGTTGTTATGTTCAGAAGTCATGTTAGGATGTGTTCAATATGATTCTTGTTTTTGATTCGTTAATTGCCTATGTGGTGTTGTTATTTGCGTTTAAAAGCGTCTAAGCATGGTTTCGGGTTCCACAAAGGATCCCGGGACACGTTATTTGATGAAAGAGTCAGTGGGGGGTAATTGGGGTTAGGGGGGCCCGCCACCTACCCGCTGCCCGAGAATCACCGCCAGGCAGCGGGCAGCCGGCGGGCAAACGTCTGCCCGCCGGCCACCCGCTGCCCGGAAGATTGTCGCCGGCGGGTGGCCCTCCACACACCTGCTACCCGCTGGTCTGTTCCCCGTTTGATGTTCCCCATTCCCCGTGGTGTCCCAACGGACCCCGTTTGTCGTGCTTGAGTCTAGTTTGATGTTTCGGGTGCCATTCATAGGATAGAAGAGTCTTAGGAATTGCATGCTAGTGAATCGGTAACCCGTTGGCCTAGGAGGAAAATGCATGAACCCCTTAGGACTACTCTTAGTATGTGAATGATCACACATAAGTTTATTTATACACCCCCCCTTCCCAATGTGTTATTACATGCGCTGCGGTTCATTTTCCTGGCTGCGGTCAGTGATTCACTTCTCGGGCTGCGGTCCACATGGGCCTCATGTGTTGTGGTCCACCGACTGGACGCGCCAGGCGGTGTGTAGGACCATTAGCCCGAGGAAGGCTGTAGTCCACCGAATGAGTGATCAGGCGGTGTGTAGGGCTACGGTTGGCTGCGATCCACCGAGTGATGGGCTAGCGGTGTGTAGGGTCGTGGTCTCCGAAGATCATCGCCCACCGAATGAGTCCCTCAGGCGGTGTGTAGGGCTTGATCTGCTACGACCCATCGGCTGAGTTCATCAAGCGGTGTGTAGGGTCGCAGTCCCCCCTTGTAAAGAGGATCACAATCCACCAACTGAGCGCCTCAGCGGTGTGTAGGGCTGTGATCCGCCATTGAGTTTGTCAACGGTCTATGCGGTTGGTTGCGATCAACCCCCTTCATGCTGCGATATAGGTAGGGTGCTGCGGTGTAGCACCCCCCAAACATGGCACAAGAAAAAGGCCTTAACACATGCAGATAACACAACAAAACACTAGCACAACGGAAGATAAAAGGGTAACTAGATAAAACAAATCCAAACAGGGTGTTATGCCACGTTTACCAACAATGGTAAACGCTACGACAGTCATATCTGCAATGTGTACATAACTATTCCAAAGTCATCAGTCTAATACTACGTCGGCGCACAGGCCACAAAGCAAGGATAAAGGTACTAAACTACCGGCCACTAGACATCGCGCTCGTCTAGACATCACCTGAAAGAACACAAAGATAAACATGGGATGACGCCCGGTCAGCGATAATGCTGGTAACCCACCAATACCTATTAAGTATCATACATAGATAGTATATATACAAAAATCATTTGCGAAACGGAATACGTATATATAAGTGAAAACCAAGAGTAAACACCAACTCAAGACTCATCACTCTCACAAGCAACACGGGAACACATCCCAAGACCACAAAGGACAACAACAACTCAAGGATAAAGACACGACAAACGGAAACACATGCCTTTGCGACTACACACGTCACAAGAAGAGAACACAACCACGGCTACACAAGCCCTCGTGACATCACACATCACGAGTTGATATGCCTTCCTTATGCCCGGTTCCAACCTTATGGCTACCCCCAACCTTATTCTAGTTCCAACCTTTACCACCAGGACCCCTGTACACCAAGTCCAACCTTATTCCCCAGGGAACCGTCGTTCCCCCTCCAACAGACCTCCGACAGAGCCACCGATTTCATAGTACACAAGGTACCGTACACACACATGGCGACACACGCCTTCCCAAGAAATACGTGAACCTGACACACAGGTCACAACTCCATATTCATGTCACGGCCACCATGAGGACCGCTGCAATACCTTGGTGACTAGTGTCCCATACCACTAATCGTGCAATCCAGGTAAAGCCACACACACCACACCTCAACAGGAATCAATCAACGGATTGCAACGAAGGTATGAAACACACTCAATCAAGGAATGGGTCACAGCCCAACAACAACTACGAAACTAGCATGCTTATCAACGGAGAAACCGAAGGTAGTTCCGAAGAACACACAAGACTCGTCACGGTTCAACGAAATACAATGTTGAACACTTAGCACGATTCAAGACACCAAAGTCCTACATGGATACCTACCATATAGTTCTACACATACGAAACATCAAGGAGACACTCAAATAGTTCCACAAAAGAACAACGGGAAGTCCAAAGACCAAATACCGAGTCAAAAGGATCACGGGGAACAAATCCCCAACAACTCCACACATGTACCCGCGGGTAGGCCCACGGGTAGGCCCCTACCCGCGGTTCTGCCCGCGGGTACAGGTCTACTCCGCCATTGTACCCTGCAGGTGGGCGGCGGGTTGGACCCCTGCCCGCCGTTCCGCCCGCGGGTACAACCCTGTACCACAAATCAACACTTCGCGGATTTTCTTCTCCAAACTCAAATTCAAGTCCAAAACATGCCAAATCTCACCAAATACAACAAAATGACTTGAATCAAAGGAAATGCCAAGCAATGGCACACAAGAACCCTAAACACAAGCTCTAGATATGCATTTTCACAAGATCATGCATCAACACTCACATTTAATAGCAAAACACAAGTAGAATCCAAGAAATCACATATAGGTAAGCAAAATAGGTTTTAGTAGAGCATGGGTTACCTCTTGTAGACTAAAAGACTTCACTTAACACCTCAACAAGCTCCCCACAAGGCTTACTTTCCAAACCCACTTCAAGAACAAACCAAAAGATCATAAAGATCCTACTTTTAAGAAAAAGACATCTAAGATGGAACCAAAAACACAAGATGGACTTAGAGCTTACCCTCCTAGATGCCCAAATAGGTGAAAGGTTGAATCTTGGAAGCAAATCTTGGAATCTTGACAAGGTCTCAACTTAGATTGGAGAGAAAGCTACTCACCTTTCTAGAGAGAAGGTAGAACTAATATTTTTTGAAAGTGTAAGGGATGAAATGAAAATGTCTTCTAGGTTAGGTTACAATACTAACTCTTGGTGAAAGGTCAAGAATGCCCTTACTAACATTTAGAAAGTGTAAGGAACAAGGGAACTCCCCTCAAAGTTCAATGTACAACATAACTTTGAAGTTGACTAGTCAAATACTAGTCCTTGAGTATTAAAAATCAGGATTTTAGGAATTAATTCCTCAATTAAGATAGGATTAATTACTCAATTAATCCATGGATTGAATGTGGATTTTTGGGGTGTCACATCCTCGCCCCCTTCAAAGAAGCTTCGTCCCCGAAGCTTGGGTACGACGAATTAGAAACAAACGGTGGTAGGAAACAACATTGTGACAAGAGGGAAGGAAGGCAAACAAGAAGGAAGGCATAACAAATCAAGGATTGGCAAGAACTTAACAAGGAGTAGATTGAGCATCACAAACTCTAGTCTTAACACCAACATCTACTTCTACCAAACACTAAGAGCAAGACAACCAACACGAAACACCCCCTACTACTATGAAGCTAACTAAGCCACAAGGCTACAAGCAAAGCAAGCACAAAAGCAACAACAAGCAACCAAAGAACGGCAACAACGACTAAAGAAAAGCAACTACAAGGAAGAAAGCAAACAAAGAAGCCACAGCTTCTAAAAGGACTCGCCCTCCGACTCCTCGGACTCTTCCTCGTCTTCTCCTCTAAGACTCGAGCTGGCTTCGATCTGGTCTAGCCGGTGGTGCACAACGACGAACTGCGTCTTCATGTAGGCAAAACCCTCCTCTACCATGCGGTTCTGCTGACGAAGCAAAGCAACAACACGCTCTTCGTGCGACGTGGTGTCGTGCTCCCTCGTGGTGCGGGCTTCTCTTCTTCGTCGGTTCTCTTCACTCTCTAAGTCGCTTTCTTCAGCTTCAACGACTTCTGGCGCTCCCACCTCATCCTCATGATCGGCTTCATCTTCGGCTCCTTCGTCACCTCCCAAGCTCTGAACAGCGAGGCTCAACTTCCCGGCATGAATTCCAAGCTCAGCTGCTAACTCTGCCCGTTCAACAGGTGCTTTCCTTGCTACTTCCTCCAGCGTGATGTACTCACCATCATCCAACTGAAACAGGTTACAACTCCGAAGGTTGGTGACATCCAACACTAGCTTTCCCACAGCCTTAGGAAGACAACCATCCACACTGACGCCCTTCCTAACCAAGATCCAGCTCAACACCATCCCATATGGTAAGCTCTTCCGATTGTGATCCCGGCAAAACACCATGTGTTGCAACATCAAAGCAGGCAAGTTAAACTTAACCAAGTTCTTGAGACAGAAAGCAAAGGTGCATTCCAGCTTACCCAACAACTTGTTCTTGTTATTGTTCGGCAGCAAACAGTCCGACACCAACATCACCAAGATCCTTTGCTCCGTAGTCAACCACTTCTTCTCCGGCCTAGAGGCTTGAGTGAAACCACTCGTGTAACACCCCCCAAAAACAAGGCCCAATTGAAGCCCTAACACAAGCAGATTAACAACAAAACTAGCACAGCGGAAGATAAACAGAAACTGGATAAAAGGAATCCAAAAAGGGGTGTTATGCCACGTATACCACACTAGGTAACGCTAAGGCAACAATCTTCAAGTGTATAATACTATCCCAATACATCAATCTAAACAGTCTAAAAACATTGGCGCACAGGCCACAAAAACACAACGGTGCTAAGCTACCAGGCTCTAGACATCGCTCTCGTCTAAACACCACCTGAAAGATACAAAGATAAACATTGGGACGACGCCCGGTCAGCGAATAATGCTGGTAACCCACCAATACCGTTAAGTATCATAAATAGGTAGATATAAGATATAAAAACCATTTTCGAAACGGAATACATATATATAAGTCAAAAGCCAAGATCACCAGTCAACACAAGACTCACCTCTCACAAGCATAACACCGGGAACACATCCCAACCACAAAGGTTAACCACACACAAGGATAAAGACTCACCCAACGGCAACACATGCCAAAACACCACAAGCCTCCGTGACTGCACACGTCACGAGAGAAGATCACACAACGCCGGCTTTAAAAGCCCTCGCAACATCACCCATCACGAGTTTGGTATGCCTTCCTTATGCCCTGTTCCAACCATATGGCTACCCCTAACCTTGTATCTTCTTTCCAACCATTACTTCCAGGATCCCCTGTACAGCCAAGTCCAACCTTATTCCGCCGGGACCGTCGTCCCCCACCTATAACCACCAACGAACCACCACAAATCACGGCAATACATACCCGGATAACACATGTTATCACCCAATCACGTGGACCCATCACTCAGGCCACAGCTCCATAATCACGTCACGGCCACCACGAGGACCGCTGCAATACCTTGGTGACTAGTGTCCCATACCACTAATCGCGCAATCCAGGTAGAGCCACACACGCACCACCACTCACACGAGAGTCAAACAACGGATTACAACGAAGGTATGAAACAAATTCAATCAAGGAACGGGTCACAACCCAACGACAACAACGATGGATAACACAAGTTATCATCAACCAAACGGAAGGTACAAACCACACACACGCTAGCATTAAGACAACAAACTAGCATGCTTATCAACGGGGAAACTCAAGATAGTTCCGAGGAACACACAAGACACCTCTTGGTCCAACGAAACACAATGTTGAACACTTAGCACGATTCAAGACACCAAAGTCCTACATGGATACCTACCATATAGTTCTAGACCTACGAAACATCAAGAGGACACTCAAATAGTTCCACAAAAGAACATCGGGAAGCCAAAAGATCAAACACCAAGACAACCAAATCACGGGGAACAAATCCCAATATCATCACAACCATGTACCCGCGGGTGGACCCACGGGTAGTGCCCCACCCGTGGTCCCGCTCGCGGGAACAATATCCCACGAGGCTGTGTACCCGCGGGTAGGCCGGCGGGTGGTGCCCCGCCCGCCGTTCCGCCCGCGAGAACATACCTATTCCACAACAAATCCCTTCGGGGATTTTCTTCTCCAAACACAAATTCAAGTCCAAAACATGCCAAATCTCACCAAACACAACAAAATGACTTGAACCAAGGAAAATGCCAAGCAATGGCACAAAGGAATCCTAAACACAAGCTCTAGATATGCAATATGACAAGATAAATGCATAAAACCCTCACATTTCATAGCAAAACACAAGTAGAATCCATGAAATCACATATAGGTAAGCAAAATAGGTTTTGTAGAGCATGGGTTACCTCTTGAAGACCAAAAGACTTCTCTAACACCACAACAAGCTCTCCACTAGGCTCACTTCTCAAACCCACTTCAAGATCAAACCAAAAGATCATAAAGATCCTACTTATAAGAAAAAGACAACTAAGATGGAACCAAAAAGATTAGACAAGATTAGATCTTACCCTTCTAGATGCCCAAATAGGTGAAAGGTTGAATCTTGGAAGCAAAACTTGGAATCTTGACAAGGGTCTCAACTTGGCGTGGAGAATAAGCTACACTTCTATTCTAGAGAGAAGGTAGAGATATTTTTCTAGGAATTGTAAGGAATGAAATGAAGAAGTCTTCTAGGTTAGGATACAATACTAACTCTTGGTGAAAAGACAAGGCTACCCTTACTAACCCTTAGAAAGTGTAAGGAACAAGGGAACTCCCCTCAAAGCACAAGGTACAACACAACTTAAAGGTTGACTAGTCAAATACTAGTCCTTGAGTATTAAAAATCAGGATTTTAGGAATCAATTCCTCTAAAGAAATAGAATTAATTACTCAATTAATTCATGGGGATTCGAGTGTGGATTTTTGGGGTGTCACATCCTCTCCCCCTTCAAAGAAGTTTCGTCCCCGAAACTTGGGTACAACGAATTAAAAGCAAATGGTAACAAGGAAACGAAATTGTGACATGAAATCCAAGAATAGTCCTTTTGGTCAAAAACTCCAAAAGTACTCACAAGGGTTCCAAAGCAAAGAAGAAGACATTTCGAATTCAAGGATTGGTCAAGAGTTAAAAGAACGGATAGATTGAGCATCAAGAACTCTAACCTCAACTCAACAACAAACTTCTAGACAACAACCAAGAACTCAACAACTAACTCCAAACACCAACTAGCACACTAGCTAAACAACAAGGCAACAAGCAAAACATGCAAACACACAAAGCACACAACAACCTAACACCAAGCTAACAAGGGCCAAGAAAGAAACTACAAGAAAGAAGCGAACGGGGTTACCGCAACACAAACTAGAAACTCCTCACTCTCCGACTCCTCGGCCTCTTCAGACTCTTCCTCGTCTTCGTCTCTGTGGCTTGAACTGGCTTCAATCTGGTCCAGCCTCTGATGCACTGCGACGAACTGCGCCTTCACAAACGCAAAGCCCTCGGCGATCAAACTGTTCTGCTGACGAAGCAAAGAGACGACGTCCTGCTCTCTCTTGGTGTGAACTTCCTTCCTTCTCCGGCTTTCCTCACTGTCTGATTCACTTACTTCAGCTTTGGCGGTCTTTGGTGCTCCTACTTCTTCTTCTTGATCCGCTTCCTCCTCAACTTCTTCATCACCGCCCAAACTCTGGACTACGAGGCTCAACTTCCCGGCATGGACACCAAGCTCGGCAGCTAACTCTGCCCGTTCCACAGGTGCTTTCCTTGCAACCTCTTCAAGCGTGATGTACTCACCACTATCCAACTGAAACAGATTACAACTCCGGAGATTGGCGGTATCCAACACCATCTTTCCCACAGCCTTCGGGAGACAGCCATCCACACTAACACCTTTCTTAACCAAGATCCAACTCAGCACCATTCCATACGGCAAACTCTTCCGGTTGTGATCCCGGCAAAACACCATGTGTTGCATCATCAAAGCAGGCAGATTGAACTTAACCATATTCTTCAGACAGAAAGCAAAGGTGCACTCCAACTTACCCAACAAACTGCTCTTGTTATTATTAGGCAACAAACAATCTGACACCAACATCACCAAGATCCTTTGTTCCGCAGACAACCACTTCATTTCCGACCTCGAAGCTTGAGTGAAACCACTCGTACGGCCCAACAGATAGCTCAAATAGTCACGGTACCCCATGGTATCCGTACTAATCCAAGAATGACCACTGTACTGAGCCACTCCA